TCTCGCAGATCTTTTTGTTCTCAGGAGTCTGTTTTCCCAGCTACTACTACCCTTTTGCAGGGACTTGCCTCCTGTAAAGTCCCTCCACAGGCACAGAATCACCACCACCCTTGGCCTGACCTCCAGTGGCTTGGTGCCTTTACCAAGACAACAGGGGGGGAAGAAAGGGCAAAATGCTCAGGGAACATTGTCCTTGTATTATTTTACATGTAAGGGAAGGCCACAGCATTCACAAACAGGAAGAAAGGCACAAGAATCCAACTATAAACATGCACAATATGACATCCAAGATGGTTACAAACAAGGGTCTAGGTCCACATACTCAGGTTGGGGCTTAGGGAGAAAAGAATCCAGTCAGGAAAGCTGCCCAGCCCACACCTAACGTAGACATGCTTCCCCCATAACAAAACAGAACAAATGGCACTTGTATTCAGTGACTGTTAACAAGTTACTCATGCTGGGCATGAAGAGTTTTTCCAAGGCTGAGGAAGGAAGCTGCTCCACCCTCTCAGTGCTTTCTGAGCTCCCCCGCTTACTTTGCCTTAAGGAAGGTGTCACAATCCCTAATTTATCCACTAACATTTTGCTTCAGCTTCAAACGTTCTGCACCAAGGAGCTTAGTTTCCCATGAGTCAGCTTTCCCTGCAACCCAGCCTATTGTCATGTAGGAGGGATGGTGTAAGGTAAGTCAAAAAAGATTTGTGGATGGAATCACTCCCACTCTGCCTCTGAAAGATGAAAAAGCTTCTCTCTCATAATTTGCCTGGGCTCTTTCTACTGCTGGCTTCTGCCTTCAGATCAGCCCAAGCAGCCACAAGGGACAGGTGACAGCCACAAGATTCAGGACAGAACATTGCAATAGTGAAGAATATATTCCAAGTACTAATGAAATGATGCATAGTTAGGGTTAGCAAAACAGAGGAGGGAGAATGGTAAAATCAGGCCGCTCCTACAACTCATCTTTGGAGCACAAGTACAAGAACACCAATACCAGTACCGTTTGTTCACTACCTCTTTGGAGGTTTACTGTAAAGGCAATATCTGCTCTTGGAAGTCACATGCATAATTCACCAGCAGCAGCGGATGACAGTGTAGATTGTGGCAGGCTTTGATCCCATGTCATTGACTCACCAATAACTGCTCCAGAGCCCTCCCTGCCCTAGTACCACTGAAGAACTACTATGCATCTAACATTTGCTCTTCCTTGAACCATAAAGGTTTCGGGGGGAAGTGTGGCATCTTCTCTTTGGTGGGGTTGCAACCACCTTGAGAAAGGAGGATTGGTCCAATTTAACCATTACAAAAATGGGAGGAGGAGGGAAAAGGGGAATATACTAGGGAGTTCCCTTAAACTGAAGCAGTCCATGCAGCTTTAACTGCACCTGCAGATGTGCAGCTGGTACAGCGCTTGGCAGTCATTTAGTCTGAGCAGCGCACTAAATATGGTGGTTAAACTCTAATCCCAGGTGGATGTCTCATAGGCAGCCCCACTATGGGCTGAGGATCCAAGCTTGGGCCTCTGGAGAGTTGTGAATCTTCTCCATCCTTTATGGTGCTAAAAGGTTAAAACTCCTTCATTTTATTTGTAAGGGAAAGAGAGGAATCAAAACATAGTAGTATAGCAAATTATGATAACAAGAATTTCCTTCTCGCTCCTTTGGCTTAAAGTCCTGACTGCAGAGATCATGTCTTTCTCACCTTGTTATTCCACAGAGGCAACACCATTCTCTGAGGAGGCACACATGGAGAAGTTAATGAAGTGAGAGATTTTGCAGCAACTGGTGCAAAAATGAAGAGGTAACCTAGTAACCCTTTGATGCATTGCAGCTGGTCAGGTGGTGGAAGCATTTGCAGAGTTAGTTAAAAACAATAACAACAACACATGGTGTTTCAGCTTTGATCAGACAAACACAATAAAGATAAACCAGACTGGGTGCACCAGATCCGCCCCCCCCCCCCCCCCCCCCCCCAAAAAAAAAAAAAAAACAAGGACAAAATT